TTTCTTAGATTTGATAAAATGAAAAGTTGGGAATATCATATATTGGTCTTTGAGATATTATTTTAAACTTGGGTTCAATTGTTCAAGGAGGGTGTTTATAATAGGTTTATCTGGTACTTAAGAATGTATTGCCTATTTCTACGGCTAGTAAGTGGATGTCGGATTTACCTTGTGCTTTCAGATTATTAGTGAAGTTGAAGAGAACTTAATTTAGAAAAAACCAAGTAAAGTGTAAGATACGAAAGAATGAAAATGTGTTTAGTGAAAGGTTGCTGGATAAATCATTAAATATAAGAGGCATTATGGCAAGTGAAGATCAATTGTGTGCTTTATATCTTTACATGTTCGAATCTTAGCTAATTGAATATTGAGGATGAGATAGGAAACTTATATGGTACTCCATTATCTATGGAGTTTGATAAGATTCTCGCTTTACATTTAAATTTTAGCCTAGTTTGCAGGAAGCCATGAGCACTAAACTACATTTCAGTACAGCTTTTCATCCTCAGACAGATGGCCAGTCAGAGAGGACCCTACAGACTCTTGAAGATATGCTGAGGGCTTGTGTTTTAGAGTTCAAAGGTAGCTATGATACTCATTTGTCGTTGATGGAGTTTGCTTACAATAATAGTTAACACTCCAGTATAGAAATGGGTCATTTTGAAGCTTTCTATGGTAGAAAATGCAGAACACTAGTTTCCTGGGAAGAAGCTGGTAAGAAGAAGTTAGTAGGCCCTGAATTGGTTCAAATGACTTCAGAAAATGTGAAATTGATTAGAGAAAAGTTAAAAGCAACTCAAAATAGACAGAAAAGTTATGCAGATAGGTGCAGAAAAGATCTTGAATTTGCAGTAGGAGATAAAGTTTTTCTTGAATTGTCTCCTTGCAAAGGGGTGTTGAGATTTGGCAAGCGAGGAAAGTTGAGTCTACGATATATTAGACCCTATGAGATTACTCAGCGGATTGGCCTAGTTGCATATTGATTAGATCTGCCAGATGAATTATCTCAGATCCATGATGTTTTTCATGTTTCCATGCTTCACAAATATGTTGCAGATCCCTCTCATGTTCCGGAATCTCAGCTAATTCAGTTGAAGGAGAATTTGACTTATAAGAAGAGCCAAGGAGAATTTTAGGTAAGAAAGTGTAGATTCAACAAAACAAGACAGTTTCACTTGTTTAGGTACTTTGGCAGAATCAGATAGGAGAATAGGCTACATGGGAAAACGAGGATCAGATGCGTGTTCAATTTCCTCATTTATTCATTGTCTAGTCAGTTGCCAGTTGAATTTCGAGGACGAAATTCTTTTAAAGAGGTAAGATTGTTAAAACTCAATTTTCATAGACAAAAATTCAAATGTTGACTAGTCAATGTCAAAGACAATTAAGGTCAAATTAAATATTTTATTGGGTTTTATTTTACAATTGACAATACATGAGGGTTAAATTGGATAAAAATTAAAGTTGGGAATTTACTTATATTTTTTTGGAAGTTTAGAATTAAATGTGATATAAAAATGGGTTGAGGGATTTTCTTGCAATTTTTTGAGTAAGTGGGATTTATATTCAACCTTTGACCATCATTTTCTCCTAAAAACACACACTAACACCTACTAGAAAATTGCAGAGAGTAGAAAGGCCAAGAAAGAGAGGAAAAAAATCAGAAAAAAGGGAAGAAAAGGAAGAAGAGGAAGTAAGTGTTGATTTCTTCAAGTACTATTTCATTTCTTAAAGAGTTAGAAAGTATATGTTTGTTGTATTATGATGTTAAATATTCTAGGGCTCTAAGTTGTTGATTTAAATTTTAGATTGAAGGAAAGAGCATGATTTCAAGTCAATCTTTGTGAGTGGATGAAAATTAATTCTTCAGCAATAAGTATTTATTCAATTTATATTAAATCAGAAAATTTATTATTTCATACAGTTGATTTGATAGCATGATTTTCAAAATAAAGTTGATTTATAAACAGTTATTTTTAAAGTTTGATTCAATTAAGTAAAATCATTTCATTAGCATGTTTTATCGATATTACATGTTTCAGAATATTTAAAGTTATTTCTAAAAACCACCAGAACGTAATCATGTGATTTTACCCTAGTCTGCACTTATGTGAATGTGTTTTCACAGTGTATGACCAGTTATGGTTATTTTACCCGCTTTGCACTATTGTGAATGTGTTTCCATAGTGTATGACCAAAATTACAGAATTTCAGCTCTGCGTGCGTATGACCAAAATTTCAGAATTATAGACTTTCAGAATTGAATAGCTTTGCCATGTATATCAGTACTAATCGATACATGAGTAAGGTTATTCCGATGTACCTTTTTGGTGTGATTTTCTAGTATTATACAGCTTATCATATTATAGACTAAAAGATTTAGTTTAGTTAGTCTGAAGAATATAGCTTTTCAGCATTACACAGTTATTTAGATTTTAGGAACAAAATTTTGCTTATGCAATTTACAGAATAAAGATTTGTATGATTCCAGTATATTTTAGTTTTGATAGCATTATCAAATTTCAAATTACAGTAATTAGCTTATTCAATTTAAAAAATAAAGATTTTAGTTTATAGTACTGTGAAAGGAAATTTGGAAGTTGACACCAGTTTTCAGAAAGTTGTTATAAAGGGAAAAGTATACTTTTACAAAATATCCACTCATTGAGTTACAAGCTCATATTTTGTCACCTTTTTTCTTAGTAGATAGTAGCTGCCCATATTGGAGCATGTCGATCTGCGAGTTGAGCCACACAGTATCATTTCTTGTATGTCGCATTTTGTCAGTTAATACATCACATAGTTTCGGGATTGATGTATCTTTTATCAGAAAATGTATTTATATCACGGGCTCACTGCATATTTTTATATATGTTTTACAAATGGAGTAGTTTGAATATAAAGGAATATAAATTTCTTTCGAATACACTTATTTTGAATAGTTGGTATTTTGAAGGGTTGGTGTGCCTTGTTTTATATTATATGCATAGATTTGAAAAAAATTGATTTTTACTCAGGTGGTTTTGTCCATGTTTCGAGGAAAGTTCTGTCAAAATTCTTCTAAAAATATATTTTTTTGTCAAGAAAGTCAAAGTTACATTGGTGGTGGGTCTGGTGTTTAGCTAGCGTCTACCATCGACACACGACACATGTCGGATCTCCTAGGATGATTCGGACGGGTCGTGTCATGCTGAATAAGGGAAGTGATCACCTCGTCACAGGTGGCACGACCCCCTTACGAGGGGTAGCTCCACGACTGGCAGCTTGAGCTCTAGCTCGCGTAGCAATAGCCCGTCCTCGGCCAACACCAAGTGCATAACCCTTGCCCTTGATTCTAGCTTCCAAATGCTTGAGCATTGGAGCATTCTTGAGCATATCCGGTATTACCATGAATATGACTTTGTTGCCACGAATGAAAACATGCTCTAGTTGTGAGACCTTCCCATTCTTAGCAGTGTAAGTGATGTTTTCAAGCTGGTAATTCCAGTTATCCTTGCACTCCACCATGCTACCTCTGTAAAGCTCGCTGCTCTTCAACTCCACCGTCACCGCGTGCCCCGACGCCTCATGCAGTAGCTTCACCAGAATTCCCAAAGTCCGACTCATTGTAATTTCTCGCTAAATTAACTTATTTTTCTTCGTTTTTCTTCAGATTTTCCCCAAAATTTGAAGTAGCAATGCTCCTTCCAATAGAAATTGCGAAAGATGGATTATTTCAACAACATGGTTTCCATTATTTTCGACCCCGTTTCAGGTTAGGGAGCTGGAGACGGTTTCAATTTAGCGCCGCTTGAACGATTTAGGGCAAAATGATGGAAGGGAAATTTGTGAGGAAAATGCAATGTATTACCCAGTTAAAATGGCCTTTTAAAATGGGTATGGTTTTTGTGCCGAGTACATTTAAACTTTGAGATTTGAATTTCAAACATGAAAAAGCCCAATTAATGACCTTTTTCTTTTGGATTTTTTTTGGGGAAAATTTCATAAGTAAAATTTTAAGTATAACACATTTCAAAATTAAGAAAACAAGTTTCAAATTTTAAAAATCAGATTTTTATTAAAATTTATTAATGATTTAATTAATTAATTAATGATTTAATTAAATATATTTAGGTCACAAATCTATATAATTTGGTCACAAATCAAAAATTTTATGTCACGATTCAAAAAATTTATAGGTCACAGTTTGTTAATCGATCACAAATAAAAAAATTTATGAGTCACGATTTATTTATTGGCTACAAATTACAAATATTACATGTTACAACTTATTATACAGTCACAAATTATCAAATTATCATCACAAATGAACAATTTTTTAGGTCACACATTATTTATTGGTCACAATTTATAATTTTTATTGGTTACGTATTGTTTATTGGTCACGGATTAACCAATTTAATGGTCATAATCAATCAACTAATTTGTGACCACCATTGACACCTGCGACAACACCTCACCATTGCCTCTAGTAGCAGCACTACCATCGTCGCTGCCGCCACCATCACCACTCGACAGCAATAACACCACCACCACAAACAATCAACACATCCCAGAAAAACATCGTCACATCATCGTACCAAATCCACCACCACCCCGACAGACCCATTCGCTACTGCACCCATCGCTTCAATCGCCACCGCTAAAATATGGAATCCGCCACTGCCACCACTCAGACAACCAAAACCAAAGTCTCACAGCCATCAAACTACCTGTACCACCACCGCACTACAATCGCCATATCCACAACCATCACCACAACATCTAAATCTGCCACTGCCAAATCCACCATCTTCACCACAACCAATCACCAAACACTATTGTCGCCAGATCTACCACCACCTGCACCAACTACCGCTTCACATCACCGCTTTGCTGATCCACCATCATCACGTTTCGCAAAGTTGCGCCACCATATCCACCACCACATCTACCACTACAAAACCACTACCACACAACACTATCACCACCACTACCACACAAAAAAAAAACCAGATCTCTGGTGCACCGTCGGCGTAGCAAAGGTAGATTTGTTCGCTGTGATTCGTACTTCTTTTGGCCGACGATTTGCACTCATTCTAGAGTGAAATGGATTGAGGGGTGAGTGATAGGACTGGGCGACGACGTTGACTGGTGGTGAGCCTCACAACCACCACCACCCAACGCACAACTGTGAGATGGGGGTGGCGCTGTGCTGGTCACTTGGGATCAGCCTTTGCGATAGTCGGATGGGGTGGTGACGGTGGGTTATTATATATTCATACCCAAGACTGTGAGGTGGGGTGGTGTCGGGAGAGTTGGTGCCGTGCCGATGATGGCATCGGTACTAGTGGAGAGAGAGAGAGAGAGAGAGAGAGAGAGAGAGAGAGAGAGAGAGAGAGAGAGAGAGAGAGAGAGAGAGAGAGAGAGAGAGAGAGAGAGAGAGAGAGAGAGAGAGAGAGAGAGAGAGAGAGAGAGAGAGAGAGAGAGAGAGAGAGAGAGAGAGAGAGAGAGAGAGAGAGAGAGAGAGAGAGAGAGAGAGAGAGAGAGAGAGAGAGAGAGAGAGAGAGAGAGAGAGAGAGAGAGAGAGAGAGAGAGAGAGAGAGAGAGAGAGAGAGAGAGAGAATTGAAATTAGGGTTAATGGGGTTGGGGTAAAATGAAAGTTTGTATATAAATTAACTTAATTTTAAAATAATATTATCATTATTGAAATATAATCTGATTTTTGAAATAACAAACTTTGCATCTCATTTTTGAAGTTTGATCTTAAAACATATGAATTTGTGTAATTTTCACTTTTTTTTAACCCCATTTTCCAACTCATTGTGTCAAATTTTGTGTCAACAAATGTGGTGAAGTAGCATTATTGAACAAAAAATAGTAAAAGGGCAATTATATTACCACTACCAATATTATTAAATGCACCACAATTTTTTGTATTTTTCTTATTCACTTAAATAGTTTTAAGTAAAATTATATAATTAGGACTTTCATAGATTTTTTAATAAAATAAATTATTGTTCCACTACACATATAAACCTAATATTTTCATTCTTTTTCATCAACATCTGATTGCGAATAGCACTTCCATTGACGATGGTTTTTGCTTTCTTTCACGACGACTAGATAATTTTCTTTAGTCATAGTAAATGAATTTATCATTGATGTTAATTTCGATGCAAATGTTGCTCATATTTGGAGAGTTTGTCAATGGAAGAATATTAGATTGGATGCACGATTTTTTTTTCCCATCTCAAAATTGATGCTTATGTTCTGAAATCTAGAAACCCTCCACCAACAACCACATCCTTCACAAAGTTTTCACCACCAAAGTCAGTCACAAAATCCTCATCGGATGTCATCAAATACATACAAGATTGTCTCATCACATGCCCATTGGGATCGATGAGGTTTCCGAATCTTCCACATATCCATTACCTCAAAGGTAGTGCAGCCCATGTCCGCTCATTAGGCTCACAAGGGCAGCCGCCGTGCATCGAGATTTCGATCAATCCTAGAAATGCCAACAATGGTTTACCACATATATTGGCTCACCATAGCTCGCGAATGTTGGGAAACCCGTTTTAAGAGTAAATATGGCCTCATGCCCTTCTTTGATTTTCCAGTAGTAGGTAATGTTTCCTATGGCAGTGAAAAAATGAAAGAAATTAGATGTATTTACTTTCAAAAAATTCAAAATTAGTTCGAAGGATAAGAAAAATGAGAAGTAATATTAAGACGATGAGTATACCACAATATACATTTTTTTTCATTTTCAGTTTTTATTGGATTAAGAGTATAATTCTAAATTTGTTGTTGTGTATTTATTAAAAATATATTTTAAATGTGGTGTAGTAAATAAATTTTGTGGTGGTAATATAATAATCCATGGTAAAAATATGAAGAGCATTGACTAAGTTTATAATAATTTTTTATTGATAAAATATGCCCTATTTGGTTCGACTCAAATCTCTAAGTCAAAATCAGCGATTGATTTTAACCATATATTCTATAGGATTCACAACTTTTCAATTATATATTCCATAAACTTTTATCAAAATTTACTCACTAATTTATTTTTATGTAAACCAAATAGGAGCATAGTAATTAAGCCTCTGTTTGTCTCCAAAATTACTATCTATTCTTTAGTTCCTACTTTTCACATACGGTACACACAATACAATTTCCCTAAGTAGTGCAATGTTCATAAAAGTCTAGCTAGATTACAATGTGTTTTTGACTTTATCAGGCCCAATCCCATTTCCTACTCTTTCATTTCATTTCTCACACAAATCCCTAACGATCGACATTTTTCCTCTCTCTTTCATTTTGCACACTTAATCGCACGAGTCGAATCTCTATAGAAATTTTAGATCAATCTTCCACATCTTCAGATTAACATGGTGATTTCATTTTGTTTTTGTATTTGATCGATTTTCCCTACACATTAAAAGAGAGACTTTATTCATAGCTCTACCTTAAAAGAGGTGATCCAAGATTACTATTCATTTTTGAATTCATACTTTTCATACATTGTTGCACAATACATTTTCCCTAATTAGTCAACTGTTCATTCAACCCAACTTGGTTTCAGTCTGCTTTTCATTTTAATAGACCCAATTCCCTTTCCTACTCTTTCATTTAATCTTGCACGTGAAACCCTAACAATCAATATTTCCCCTCTCCTTCTCTTTCGTTTTCCACGCTTAATCACACGAGTCGACTTTAAATAAATTCCAAATTATTCTTCTGCACTTTCAAAGTAATGTAGTAATTTCGTTTCATATCTACATTAGATTTATTTCCAATACGTTAAAAGAGAGACTTTGTCTTGCAACTATTCCTAGCAATACATATCTCACCTTTTTCTTTTTTTCCTATATCCTCTCTACCTACAAGAGATCATCCAAAAATACTATTCCACTTTGAGTTTCCTTAACTAGACTACTTATCATTCCACCCGACCTGATTACAATATACTTTTCACTTTATCACGCGCAA